TTGTGTTTTATGGGAGGTTGGTAGTCAGTGTAAGACAGTGAACTAAATTTAAAAGATCTGGTTTAGTTTGATACAATATACTTGCTTGCTTCTGTGTTCATAAATACTCAAGAATAATAATACACTAACGTGTAAAAACTCATTTTAAATTTCTCCCTAAATTTAAATTTAAATCATAAAATTTTTAAAATTTGTTGTAAAAATAGTAACAAATATTAAATAGTAACAACAAATTTTAAAAATTTTATGATGTATTATGCCCATAATTGTATATTTTAATGTGTGGTATAAATGTTGAGTGTCAATGCTTACAAAAATAATCTCAACGACTAGTAAGTTACACTGAAGAATTGTGATATTTTTTAAAATATTTACATAATTGTCTTTTACAGTGTCTTGAAAAAGGAATAAAACCATTCCAAAAGCTCGACAAAAAGTCAAAAGAGTGTTTTTTTAACATCCCGACCAATATTCTGACTGCAACCCTAATAAACTGTGTTGTTTTGAGTAATTTTGAAATATATATATATATATATATATATATATATATATATATATATTTCAAAATTACTCAAAATGTTTAATCCAATTTAAAGTTTGTTAGTAAACAACTCGAACCGACACATGTCTCGGGAGAACATCAAAAACACACATTTCACATTGGGGCTGAATTGCACTAAAACAATTAGTTTTAAATCGAAAACAAATTGTATACATTAGATTGGATAGTATAAGTTGTTATTTCAAATGCAACAAAATCGCATTTACGAAACACTAAGTTTTATTGAACAAATTAGGTTTACTAGGTATTTGAGAATTAGCTTGAATAACCCTCATGTAGGATAAAATATAGCATTGATAATACAATTAGAATAAATTGGATTGAGTTGCTAAATTTGATCAGAGTAACACTGCAACAAGCTCTCAAATACTATAAATTAAAACATTCAACAGGGCAAGTATAAATGATTATAGTAACGACCTCTACTTCAACTGCGAAACTCAAATGTTTTGTGTGGATAATTTAGATATTTCTATATATGATATAAATTATGTACTATGACTATTATTGCAAATCATATAGATCCGTTGAGAAAAATCCTAATTAAAGTAAGTTGTGAAATTTACATTTAACAGTCGTTGATTAACAATTTAGCAATTTTGACTAAATTACGTGCCATTTATGACTTGACATTTCCATTAAGCATCCGCTCGAATAGGCAATCAAATAATACCCGCAATTAAGCAAAAACATAATGAGAATGTTAAAAACGAACATGGATAACTGATGATAATATTCGGAACGAATAACGAATTTAGAATAAACAACGCATTGTTTGACCACAAAGAGTAACACAAAAAATATACATTTATTAAAATCCGTGGATAAAGATAAATGATATATTATGTTATAAAACTAACAGAGATTATACATATATTAAAAATAATCGACATAAGACGCCTTAACTCCGAAGATGTAGGTAGAAACCACAGTATTGTATTATGTAAAATAAGAATCATCCTGTAATACTGCACACCCGAGAGAGCGGCGCCAACTCAAATAAAAATCTAAGTCGAAGGACTAAATACGAAATCTCCCGACACGAAATACTTATACAGTATTGTACAGTACGACATGAAATATTAGAAAAGGATATCATAGAGGAAAGCTGGGAAAAACTTAACATAATTACCACAGCAACAGAATCACTTGAAGAGATGAAAGTAGCCAACACTCACATTTCAAAAAAGAAAACCCCATGGTTTGGAGAGGAAGTGAAAACAAAATATGAAGAAAAGAAGAAAGCTTTTCAACAATACAAAACACAACAAAAACAACAGTCAAACAACCACTATAACCGAATCAGAAATGCAACTAACAAACGACAAATTGCTTTCAACTGGTAGAGCTTCTCAAAAAAGATAAAACACAATTTATTCTCCTTTAGTGCCTTATCCGGTCCGGATGTTGGCGATTATTAAGGCTATCATGGTTTTGTTGACTGCTCTGCGAAACAGCTTTGAGGAGGTCATTCCAAACTACTGTCGGAGGTTTTTTAATCACGAGATACGACGGTGTCTTGGTCCTCTCCTGCCAAATGGACACAACTTCTACGGAACACAAAAATAAATATGGAGAATAATTAGGGGAGAAAGAAAAGATATGAACGAACTAATAAAAACGAAACACATTCAGAAGGAAACGTGGGCAAGTTACTTTCGATCCCTATTTGCTAAAAGTGACGATAATGAACGACCAACATCAGAGGTGACGACAAACGAAGAAATACGTATTGAGTAGGAAGAGGTAAAGGAAGCATTAAGGAAATTAAAAAATAGAAAATCGCCAATAGAGGACAGAATATCGAACGAACTACTAAAGTACGGATGACCAGATCTGACCAAGCAACTATTAAAACTAATCCAAAAAATATTAGAACAAAACAGAATTCTTCAAGAATAAAGATCAAGCATCCTAATACCTCTCATTAAAAAGAGTTCATTACTTTACAGTAATTATAAAATTGGATGAAACTAAATCTAAGGACGAATACTTTAGATATCGGTGCTCGTTTAGTTTGGTCCCTTTAGTTTAGTTTTGTTTAGTTTCGCTTTTTGGTTTTATTTTATATAAATATAAACAAATAAAATTTATACACAAAAACAATAAACAAAATGCATGTGGGTTAGATAATTACTAAGAGCAACGTAAACAGAGATAATAAGACTATAGAAGAACATTTTATATCATGTGTAAAAAAAGCTCCTCGAGTTATGTGTAAATTCGATACAAAATCATTGCAAACTCTTTACACGAATATTATGTCATCGATGGTATTTGAGGCACCTAGTGCTTAGTAGAGCGCTGGTCGGTTTGAAGTGGGCTGGTCTCTTGGAGTTTGTTCATCGCATACTACCACCGTTATGATATTCGTGATCAGCGACACCAAAATCCCCCAAGTAACGAGTTTATAATTATTGCACTAATATTGTATCAAAATTTTACAAAATTCACTAAGACGAGGATCGTTCTGGGACCCAGGGGCATCGAAGACCATTACCGTTATGATATTTATGATCAGCGACCCCACAAATATCCGAGTAACGAGTGTGCACTGATTTTATATTGAACTTTAAATTTTAAAGTCTGTATTTACTTAAATTTTACTAAAACAAGATTATTTAACGCAACGATAGTTTTGGACAGTGAGCATTTAACACATGTTCAAAGTGCTGTAAATATGATTGAGGCTGGTCTTTCACAACTGATATTGCACGTCATTTTGGCGTATCTCAGAGCATGACTTCACGATTGTTACGTCAATATGTACAATTTGGTAATGTGTCTAAAAACATGGAGGTCTTCAAAGTGCAACTACACCTCGACAGGGTCGGTATGTAGTAAGAATAGCTCAGCGAAATGTGCATATAACTGAACGTGGACTTTGTGGGACATTAGAAAGCACTCATAATATTACTGTAAGTAATCAAACTTTACAAGAATGGACTTCTGTGTTAAGTAAACATGAAGGTAAGTTTTGTCTTTACCCTAATTTAAGGAGAGTGATACTTTGAAGAGAATCTGGTCGACATAATTCCTATATGTATAGAGAGTTTGTCCATATAGTGTTCTATAAGTTACGTTGTAGGCTGGAATAATTTTTCATCTTCGAACTGCTCCCGTTTTTTGTGGAAGGTACTTTGAATAAATATCAATATGTTGATCCCATCTTAGAACCTGTTGCTTTTAAATTTGTCACTGTAGCAGGTCCCGAGTTACGTTACATGCATAATAATGTAAGGCCACAAAATGCAGCAATAATAAGAGATTGATTTTACATTATGGATATTATACTTTTAGCGTAAAAAGGAAATTCGACAGATCTTAATATTATAGAGCATGTATGGGTATGCTCCATTTTCTCTGATATCTTCTTTGCATCTCCTCGATATATTAATGGACACGTTCTACTAAATCTTTACCCAATGTCTCCAATGTTTCAGGAAAATAGTCTAGGTGAGAGTATGGAAAATGTGCATTTAGTCTATAAGACAATCCAAGTGTTAAAACGACTTTAGCATTATTTTGACTATCTTTTTGTTATCAAGATCAATCGTTTATTATTGACCGAACATTTCTTCACAACAGTGATTTTTATATTAAAGTCTCTTAAAAATCATTGCCAAGTTCTCATGGTACTCCAAGTATTCCACTATTCCAATTACTAGGGAGGAATTTATGTATTCATATTTCTTTTATGAGCTGCTGTAGTTATTTATTTTTGCCATCATAGCCAGCGTCTTTAACTTCAGAAATCTTTGGTGGTTTTCTCTCCTTTCTACTGTTCCGCTTATTAGTATTTCACCCATCGAACCAATACATCTTTCCTTGTTGTTAATAGGTTGCCACTTGCACTTTTTTATTGGTTTGTAATTGCCTTGATATTTTTTTATGTTAACTAGCTTTCTGGCGTATTCTTGCATTTATTTTACCTAGCAAAATCTTAGTGTCATTTCTGAGACATCTTCTGTAGGCTTGTTCTAGTTATTTGAACAACTGTTGTTTTATTTCTTCTGGTTTGTCATCAGTCGGACTAAGTGCATTAATCGAACTGTAATTAAAGGATTTGCCTTTTAAGCGCAAATAGAGATTTTATATCATTTCATATATGTAGATTAGTACACAACATTTGCCAACTTTATGTTTTTTGGAAACTTCACTACAAATTTCTTGACTTAATTTCTTCTAAACTAGGAGACTAATATAATAAAAAAAAAACAAAAGACAGTATGTAGAGTGTCAGAAGATTGTAACAGCTCATTAGGAGATTTTTGAAAAAAACCTCCTGATAGACTGTGAAAGTAACATGTTCAAAAAAGTAAACCGTCTAAATTTTTAACTATACTTTCTGAAGGTTTTACTCTATAAAATATTTTATTCTGAAATTAAGGCCTTTCGGTATAATTTCAACGATTTAACAATATTTTTAACAACTTACCTTAAACATCCAGGACTGGCACCATCAAACACGCTACAATTCTGTAACAAATTTCTATTTAAATGTAGACATATATCTGCTTGCAGACACTCCGGAAATCCTTTCAAAACGGAATTCATATCTATGCCATTCGTATACGTCCACGCGTGTTGGAAATACTCCTCTAACCGTTGTCTCAGCGGATTCGGAATCTGGTGGAACCGGATAAATTCACGCACTCTAAGCATTTGGGTGTGATATCTCGCTGTACCTGAGTATAGTCGTTGGATGATCGCCGAAACGTTACCGAAGATGCTGGCATACATGAGAGCTGAAAAGTAAAGTTATAATTTATATAAAATATTGCAAAAGAAACGTGTTGAAAGAAAAACTCCCTTAAACATTAAATTTAAGAATATCAACGTAAAATAATTTGATAATAGCCTAACAACATTCAAAACCAGAAGTAAATTATCGATTTTTTCAGATTTTGTTAAATAAAAAATTAAGCACCAGGTTTACGACAAACACATATCATGATTATTGATACAAGGTATGACCTGAAGTAATTTTAGTAAAAAAATAGACTCCCATGAAAAATTTCTATTATAATCTGCTTTTCGACAGATCCCGCCTTGACTTATAACAAATAAAAACAATAATTATGCATTTAAATAATAATCTACTGTCACTGTTTAGTAAAAGAAGATAATAAATGCCGATTGAACTACTTACAAAAGGAGTACCATACCGTTCTTTTTACTCAAGAGTACTAATCACCAGATGGTCGAGAAATGGTTACACAATTTTTCATGATGATTCTATTATAAGATGGGCAAGTATTTCTATAGATACACAAACACATACTATTGATTACTTCTTGTTTATTCTATCTAGCAGGTCTATCTGACGAGCTAAAAATGCTAAACACGTGTCATAGAGTAGTTGGTTTGACGAGACGTGAATATTTCTTCTCGTATATTGTTTCCCTAGTGATTTTTATTTATAAAGAATGATTCTTTGAATAATCTTGGATATCTGCGATATAACACTTAAGAAGTCACCATTCCGTGTATAAATTTTATTAAAAATGACTTAAATTTAACGCAGGACTACACTAGACATATAAGGTGACTAATAATAATAATGTATGATAATTATTACAGTAATTTTCCTTATGAAACTTTCACTACTAAAGAAGTCTCGAACACTATCAAAGAGAGACTTCATAACTGAAAATCTCCTGGACCAGACGGAGTTAACAGCTTCTAAAGACTAAAGAAATTTTGAAGTGTCCACGAGCTTCGAACAGTATTAATTAATCATGATATTTCTAATCCACAGGAAATACCACTATTTCTTACTCAGGGAACCACTTATCTAATACCGAAGGATCAAAATATCACCCATGATCCAGTCAAGTACCGCCTTATTACTTGTCTTTTAACTTTGTACAAATTGTTTATATCCTATGTACGCCACCGTATCTACCAACACTGTTCTCTAAACAATATTAGAGAGCCTCAATAGAAAAGATACACTAAGGATTCCATGGGCTGCAAAGAACAACTTATAATCGACTCAGTCATTTTCAACTAAACGTACATAAAAAAAGAAACCTTTTCACCGCCTTCATTGACTACAAAAAGGCCTTTGATTCAGTACCGCATGAATTTCTTATAGATATATTGAAAATATGTAAAGTCTATGATAATAAAGTGACCTTTTTAAAGCATATATTAACGGAGTGGAAGACTAAATAAAATTCACCTTCAAATACCCGGTGAAAACAGCATCGAAACTAAAGATATCCCAATTAACCGGGCATTTTCCAGGGGGACTCGTTGACTCTTCTTTGGTTTGGTTTAGCAATTAACCCACTATCCCAGGTACAAATACTGTTGTGGCGAAGCTTAATCATCTGTTGTATATGGATGATTTGAAATTAATGTCTTTCACTCGAAACCTAGTTGGTTTCAGATCAGATGCTAAAAACTGTAGAAACGTCAGGAGGTGCTAGGAAAACATCTGCACTGGAAGCCGGCTCCATAAGATTCGATTCTTCCAGCATAAACATAATTTTATGTGCTCTTGAGTCGTAAAAAAATTTTTTAGGACGACTATTATTACTATTACGACCAAAACTGGTCAAACCTAGTTCATTTGACCTTGATCTTATTTCCATTTTCTAGAACAAAAATGATTTTTTGTACTAATAATATGCCTTGTGCCCAGTGTTGCGACAACGCAACACTGGTAATTGGGCAGTTGTACCAACTAGCACAGATAAAATAATAGCACTTACTCGATAGATATATCCTCTTCTATGATTTAAACAATACATTGCTATCAAAAACCAAATATTTATCTAGTTAATTTATACACCAACGACTTACTACAAACTAAAAACACATGTTTACAGAAGTCAAAATTAACCTACTACTTTCAATACGCCATCTGTTAATAAAAACCTAAATTTTACGATCAATTCCCACTAAAACATTTATAGGAAACTGTTGTGAAATAAATCTGAACCTTGACTGGCCGAATAAGTCATGACATTTTCCATTTGATGACGCTAAAGTGGGCTATGTCAACTGTTGCTAAAACGCAACGCTGGGCATGAATGGGTTAATAAACTACTTTTAAATAACTTTTGTCTTTTCAGCAATTAATTTTTAGTTTGCAATGAGCGTGTATGCATGGTTGTATGCAGCGACTTCCAGTGGGTGTCAAAATTTGACCAACAGCCCAAAATTAATTACTAAATTTACTAGTCAATTGGGATTGAGTTCAGTGAATAGAGTATAGTAAAAATTTATAAACAACTATTATGATGGGATTAGTTCTTAATATTATTTATTTTTAATTTTTTATTATATATAATAGATTCTATTCTTCTATTCTTAATATATAATAAATTCTAGGATTTTCATGTTCTGTTGATTTGATTGTTATCCATGATAAATCGTTCAATTTTGTTAGATGATTTAGAAACTATTTTGAACAATAATAATAGTCTTTTACTTACATCCTGCCAACATGACGCAAATAGTGAAGATCTTTTCTGCGTCTGTGTTGGGAGCCACGTTGCCAAATCCCACGCTTGTCAGAGAAGTGAACGTAAAATATAACGCAGTTACGTATCTGCTTCGTATGCTAGGACCTCCTGTATTGTTTGGTAAGTAATACTGTTGGGTGTCATTGGCTAAAATATCCAACCAGCCGATTTTAGTTGGTAGCATTGGTCTTTCGGCATTTCCTATTGCATACCTAGAACAATATTAGTGATGTCAAATAAATTTATAAATAAAAAATAAAAACAGTGACTCGTGCATATAAAATTATTAACAGGATATATAATAGGAAAATATTTCAATATTTCAGAGACAGCACTGTTACATTCCATATATATATATGTATATATATATATATATATATATATATATATATATATATATATATATGTATATATATATATATATTTATTTATATATATATATATAATATATATATATATATATTATATATATTTAACAATTTATTGTTTTGGAGTATTAGGTATGCGGTCTGTTATTAAAAAAAAACTCTTTTTTCTTTATTACTCTGTATTTCGCTGATTTTTGTCAGCTTCTTCAGGAGATAACTAAAATATGGTTAAAATTTTATATACATAACAGGTGATAATAAACAATGAATTTACCTACAGATTAAGAGTTAAAATATTTAAAATTGTTAAACATAATATATTCAAAACAGTAGTGACTGTTTTAGTCAAAAGCATCTAGTCACTAGTAATTAAATATAACAAAAAAAATATAATAAATAGAAAACAAAAACAACCAAGAAACAATAAAAACACAATAAAAACACAATAAAATTACACATTAAAAATATATAGGATGATTTAAAATATAATTGTAAAAAGAAAAATTATTTGAACATACTAAGAATATTACAGTAGATATTGCTCAACTGTCCCGTATCTGCCTTATAATTAACTGCATATTTTTCTTTATTAATGTGACACATTTCTAAAAACAATCTTTTTTTGTAATTGTTCTCTTGTTGTAGAACCCTGACATTTGAGTAGTCAAATTGATGCCCAGTTTTTAGGTAATGGTCAACTGCCGCACATGTATTATTCTTTTTTGTGCAGTCACTTTTGTGTTGTGTGACCCGTTGTTTTAGCCATTGAGAAGTTTGGCCAACATAACAGATCTGACAATCCAAGCAAGGCAGTTTATAGATGACATTAGTTTTATTTACAGTTGGTGTCTTGTTTTTTACTTTAGAAAACAGTTGTCGGTTTTCTAATACATTATATTGGACAATTTTGATGTTAGTAAATTGTTTAAATAAACTAGTCACAGAAGGTGTTAACTGTTTTATTAATGGCAATTTTTTATATTGGATTGTTTGTACTGTATTAAACTTTTGACGAGTGGGATGATTTGAGAAAAAGTTTAGATATCTTCCAGAGTGTGTTGGCTTTTGATACCAATCTAGCAATATTTTGTTTTGTTCGGTTCTTATTAATTTGGTGTCCAAAATGATATCGAACAATCATTTTCAATCTCTAACGTAAATTGAATATGTTTGTTAAAGTTATTGAAAATGTTCAAAGTATTCTGAATTTGTGAAGTAGGAACTGAACATATAAGATCGTCTACAAATTTTTTAATGAAGGGTAAAGGGAAAGGTAATTGTGGAATAATGACATCCAGTAAATTGGTCCAAAATAATGGTTGCTATTATGGGACTGAGTGGACTACTCATAGGTGCTCCAAATATTTGTCGATAGAATTTATCATTAAAACTAAAATAGGTGTTCTCAAAAACATAATTCAGAAGTGTTAAAAAACTATCCTTAGAAATGGTTGTATAATTTTGGATGAGATTCCATTTTGACTGTATTACATTACAGACCAGATCTATTGGTATGTTAGTAAATAACGATATGACATCTAACGAAATTAGAACATAATCTTTCGGTAAAATCAACTCTCTGACATCATTAACAAATGAAAATGTATCCTTTGCATTATAGTTGTTCACTTCGTCAAAAGCATCTTTAAGAATGTTAGCAAGAAATTTGGATAAGTCATAAGTTACCGAATTTACAGAGTTTACAATAGGTCTAAGTGGTATACCTTCTTTATGAATTTTTGGTAAGCAGTAAAGTTTTGGACAAGATGCATTGTATATAGTCAGTTTTTTGGCAAATTCTTGATCTATTTTTTAAGTCTATATATACAATGTCAATCTATATACAATGCATCTTGTCCAAAACTTTACTGCTTACCAAAAATTCATAAAGAAGGTATACCACTTAGACCTATTGTAAGCTCTATAAATTCGGTAACTTATGACTTATCCAAATTTCTTGCTAACATTATTAAAGATGCTTTTGACGAAGTGAACAATTATAATGCAAATGATACATTTTCATTTGTTAATGATGTCAGATAGTTGATTTTACCGAAAGATTATGTTCTAATTTCGTTAGATGACATATCGTTATTTACTAACATACCAATAGATCTGGTCTGTAATGTAATACAGTCAAAATGGAATCTCATCCAAAATTATACAACCATTTCTAAGGATAGTTTTTTAACACTTCTGAATTATGTTTTTGAGAACACCTATTTTAGTTTTAATGATAAATTCTATCGACAAATATTTGGAGCACCTATGGGTAGTCCACTCAGTCCCATAATAGCAACCATTATTTTGGACCATTTACTGGATGTCATTATTCCACAATTACCTTTCCCTTTACCCTTCATTAAAAAAATTTGTAGACGATCTTAAATGTTCAGTTCCTACTTCACAAATTCAGAATACTTTGAACATTTTCAATAACTTTAACAAACATATTCAATTTACGTTAGAGATTGAAAATGATTGTTCGATATCATTTTTGGACACCAAATTAATAAGAACCGAACAAAACAAAATATTGATAGATTGGTATCAAAAGCCAACACACTCTGGAAGATATTTAAACTTTTTCTCAAATCATCCCACTCATCAAAAGTTTAATACAGTAATTGCAATGAAGAATAGGGTAAGGCATATTAGTGATGAAAAATTCATAAACAGAAACTTAAATTTGCTTTTAAACATTTTTGAAAATAATGGATATCCAAAACATATCTTTAAAAAATTCATATTTAACTCAGACATTTTTGACGGTCCCACTGATATCGGAGCAGTACAAACAATCCAATATAAAAAATTGCCAATAATAAAACAGTTAACACCTTCTGTGACTAGTTTATTTAAACAATTTACTAACATTAAAATTGTCCAATATAATGTATTAGAAAACCGACAACTGTTTTCTAAAGTAAAAGACAAGACACCAACTGTAAATAAAACTAATGTCATCTATAAACTGCCTTGCTTGGATTGTCAGAGCTGTTATGTTGGCCAAACTTCTCAATGGCTAAAACAACGGGTCACACAACACAAAAGTGACTGCACAAAAAAGAAGAATACATGTGCGGCAGTTGACCATTACCTAAAAACTGGGCATCAATTTGACTACTCAAATGTCAGGGTTCTACAACAAGAGAACAATTACAAAAAAAGATTGTTTTTAGAAATGTGTCACATTAATAAAGAAAAATATGCAGTTAATTATAAGGCAGATACGGGACAGTTGAGCAATATCTACTGTAATATTCTTAGTATGTTCAAATAATTTTTCTTTTTACAATTATATTTTAAATCATCCTGTATATTTTTAATGTGTAATTTTATTGTGTTTTTATTGTTTCTTGGTTGTTTTTGTTTTCTATTTATTATATTTTTTTGTTATATTTAATTACTAGTGACTAGATGCTTTTGACTAAAACTGTCACTACTGTTTTGAATATATTATGTTTAACAATTTTAAATATTTTAACTCTTAATGTGTAAGTAAATTCATTGTTTATTATCACCTGTTATGTATATAAAATTTTAACCATATTTTAGTTATCTCCTGAAGAAGCTGACAAAAATCAGCGAAATATAGAGTAATAAAAGAAAAAAGATTTTTTTTTTTAATAACAGACCGCATACCTGATACTCCAAAACAATAAATTGTTATTTACGTTTCGGTCGATAATCCTACCAGTTTTGCTATATATATTTATTTTATATATAATATATATATATATCTATATATATATATTATATATATGTATATATATATGAGAGAGAAAGAGAGAAAAAGAGAGATAGAGAGAGAGAGAGAGAGAGGAGAGAGAAGAGAGAGAGAGAGAGAGAGAGAGAGAGAGAGAGAGAGAGAGAGAGAGAGAGAGGAGAGCGAGAGAGAGAGAGAGAGAGAGAGAGAAGGGGCCAAAAGTCTGGAAACGTCAAATTGTCTCGTAAATTGCTAGTCATCACAATGTACAAAATTTGAGGTACACATATATACGGAGATTCCATATTTGATATTTGCAATGTTACCACATTTGCAGTTTCTCTTATATTATTGGTAACTTTGGTTTTTATCACCCTGTATATTCAGTTGTTATTGGAATCTCCTGTGATTTTGACATTTGTTCACCATTTACATTATTAACTAAAATTGACAGTAGTTGTGTTTCGAAAACTTCTGCAGGATAAATTGCTTCTCTAAAGGATTCCCCAAACCAACGCGAAACTTTCGCAGCGGAATCGCGGCGAATCGTAAGGCACGGCGACTTAATGCATGTGTTCAGACAAGTTCGGACGGAAACCGGAACGGTCGCGGCAGAACAGCGTTGACGTTTCATGAAACGCTGCATGCACGGTTTTTTCCGCTGCAGTTATAGCAAGTTATAGTTTCGCGTGAATTATTAAAATGGCTGTTTACAGAAAAACTAATTGAAATTGTGAAACAATATCCTATAATTTATGATTTAAGTGACGAAGATTATAAAAATATAAGAAAAAAGGATAAAGTCTGGGATAATATAGGGTCATTTCTAGGAGAAAATGGTAAGTTTTCATTATATATTATATATAATGAATTTAATAGTGCTCCGCCTGCGAATGTTCCGCAACGGTTTCGCGCCGCAAAAGTTTCGCGTCGGTGTGGGGAATCCTTAAAATGGCTCTTAACGAAAAATAACCAACTACTATTCTAATGATGAGAGGGTACGGTAACAGAAAAAGATCTTATTGTTACGTTTTAATGTTGTTGAAAATAGTTAGTATTAAAAAATTTATTGAGACAATGAGGCTTTCTGTTTTATGTATTTAAGATCTTCCAGAGTACATAAAATTGTAAGTGATATATACGGTTGAACTCGTATTGAAGAGGAGATTCCAATAATAACTGAATATACAGGATGATGAGTTTGAAA